TAATGAAGATGCTGGCCAAAAAGAGCTTTTGTATATACTGAATCCATCATTTAAATACTAATAGAACACTAGAAAGTGTGCAGACAACTACGCTAATGACATCCACATAAGAAGTGAGGAGTTGGCAAACCTAGAGTACAAAACAGAGACGAACAAACCACTTCCTACTCACAAACAACATCTGTTGATATTTATTAGAATAGTCACTAGACTTTCCATAAACATGAAAAAGGTTAAGGATTTACTACAGGGTTGTTATTAAGTGGAGATGATTTATTGGTATGATTTAGATAATTCAAAACACCAAGTTTTATATGTTAAATGTCAGTATGTTATTAGCTTAAAATCAATGTGTTTATCTATATCAGTAGCAGAGATGAAGATCATATCACATTTTATGACCGGGTATTTCAAGAGTCAGTTCAGCCTCCATAAGGCTTAGATTTTTTTAATCACTGCATACTGATAATAAACTTAACAAAACTGTAACTCACCATTGTTTAATGTCTTTGGACTTTGAAGTTTTTACTTTATGGTTACTTATCAAGTTTTTCAGCTTATCAGACATCCGTAGTGGAGAATGGTAACATAGGGGTGATAACTAATTCCTTTTTTTTCTGTAATATACTTACATATCTATATTATTGCTAATATATATTGTAATATATCTATATCATGGCTAAAGCACTTCTGGATGGATGCAAACTGCATTTCGTTGCCCTGTACCTGTGACATGTGCAATGACAATAAAGTTGAATTCTATTCTAATTCTATTTTTCTACAGAGAAGAAACAATATAAACCACAAGAGTGTAAACACTAAAATGCCAGGCTCCCAGGAGCAACCATATCATCATTTTCTTTTTAATCTAGATGGTATTCCTCGCCACACTGTATCTTGCCCTGACTGTTCTGTCTGCCACAATGAAATACTAGAAGCATGTTGTGTAGAATAAAGAGAAATTACCCAACGCCCATTTTAATGACCTCCCCAAACAAAGTTACTGACCACACCCTTACATTGTACAGCTCTTACTTAACAATATGATCAGTAACTGGACTTGGTTTCAATTGAATTATATTTCAAATGTGATGTAGTGTATCTGGCAACACACACATATCACATGGCAGACAACTCAGCTGTAGTTTTTAGACTTTATATAAAAATCATCACCTGACAGGATAGTTTTACAATCAATGAGTCATGTTCAAACAGTGAATCATTTTTCCAAGCTCCTACTTAAAATGAAGTATGGATAATAAAGTTAAGAAAGTGACTGGGTTTTACTATGTGTTTATGTTATGAAAAAATATTAAATGTAATTGTTCCTTTTGATGCTCTAAAGGTGACGTAATGCAATGCCACCCCGGGAGTACTGTCTAGTACCATCGAGATTAAGAAATCCACAGCAAAATGCTGCAACATAAAGCAGTTGGGAAATATGGTGGGGGTTATATCCCAACTGTTTGTATCACTGAAATTTAAACTGATACAGTCTTGTCAAACTTATAATCATAGGAGTAATTGAACAGAACAAAACCCAATGTTTATACTTATATCAGATTAAAATTAGTCTGTTTTGTATAAGAAAAACTTGTTCACAGGTTCTGTGGTAATGTAATGATAACGCCTTTAATAAGCAGCTAAACAATGGCTGTTAGTACTAAAATATAGTAGTGAAAAAAGTTTGGCTCCTCCCCCCTCCCTTTCTGATTTTTTTTATTTTTTTGCTTGTTATCACATTTAAATGTTTTAGATCATCAAACAAATTTAAATATTAGACAAAGATTAAAAAAAGTAAACACAAAATGCACTTTCTAAATCAAGGCGTTTATTATTAAGGTCGAAAAAAAATCCAACCCTATATGGCCCCAGAAAAAGTGATTGCCCTCTAAACCTAATAACTGGTTTGACCACCCTCAGCAGCAACAACTGTTTGATGAGTCTTTGACAACACTGTAGAAGAATTTTGACATACTCATGTTTATAATTCTGGTATGACGTTCCTTTTCTGAAATGCCGCGTTACTTTTCCGCCAGATGTAATAGGATAAACCTTCCAAAAGATGTAAACTTTTGTCTTGTCAGTGCACAGAATATTTTCCCAAAATCTCTGGGATCATCCATCTGTTTCTTGGCAGATGTGAGATGAGCCTGTGCATTCTTTTTGTTCAGCAGTGGTTATATCCTTGGAGTTCTCCAAAGGATGCCATTTTTGCCCATTCTCTTATTTGTTGTTGAATCATGAACTCTGACCTTAACTGAGACATGTGAAGCCTGCGGTTCTTTCATGCTGTTCTGGGTTATTCTGTGACCTCCTGGATGAGCTGTCAATGTGCTCTTGGAGCAATTTTGGTAGGCTGGTCATTTCTGGGAAGGTTCATCACTGTTCCAAGTTTTCTCCATTTGTGGATAATGGCTCTCACCATGGTTCACTGGAGTTCCAAAGCCGTAGAAATTGCTTTGTAACCCTTTCCAGACTGATAGATGTCAGTGACTTTGTTTCTCAGGTTTTTCTTTAGATCACAGCATGATGTGTTGCTTTTGATATCTTTTAGCCTGCTCAACTTTGCCAGAAAGGTTTTATTCAATAATTTCTTGATTTAACAGTCTGCCAGTAATCAGGCCTGAGTGTGTTTAGTGAAAATGAACTTAGTTTTCCATAAAATGTGGTTAATCACAGTAAATTCATGATTTAACAAGAAGCGCAATTACTTTTTCCACACAGGACCAGGTAGGTTTGGATAACTTTTCTCCCTTAATCAGTGAAATCATCATTTAAACACTGCATTGTGTATTTATTCAGGCCATCTTTGTCTAAAATAAAATTTGTTTAATGATCTGAAACATTTAAGTGTGACACATATGCAAAACACTAGGAAATCAAGAAGGGGCAAACACTATCACACAACTGTAACTTCAGTAACTATAATGTAAAGGTTCTTGATTTTCAATTAACATATTTTTTCAATATCTTGTAACTAGAAAAAGTCTATCTAAAGCCATTTTAATTTACAAGCGCTTGTAGTGCCATTTTCAAAGTTACTTTTTACCTAGACAACATTAAAAAACAAAACATGCCCAGCTAACCTTACAATTACTGTAATTAATTACCAACAATTAGAAGCAAAATGGGTTCTCTTGCTTAAATGTATCATTTAAACATTCAAAACGTGTCTAAAGACATATAATAACACCCAAATTAGCATATTGGAGTGAGGAGCTTTCAAAGTTGGAGTCTAATCAATGAAACAAAATTGTAGGTGTGTATTGGAGCTAAAGAAGAAAAAAAAAAAGCCACAAGCAAAGCAAACCATTTGCTACTCAGCATCCATTGATATTTCTTGGTCAAAACAGTTACTATACTTATGATCATGAACTATATTTACATAAAAAAGCAAGAGTTAAAATTTACTAATGAGCCCAGCTAGACAGGTTGTCACTAGGTGGAGACCATTTAGTACTGCGGGTACTCTACCTAGAAGGGAGTTCTGGGCTACAAAACCACAAGTACGTGGTTTTTAGTGGCTATTGAAAATCATGTCACATTTTATGACGAGCTATTGCAAAAATCCAGGTAATTCCATAGGGCTCCCATACTTCTTGTCAGAAGTCATGTATACTGATAACAAACTTAATAAAACTGTAACTCACTTTCTGAAAATGTCTTAAAAAAGGAAGCTAGTGATGTGTAAGTGTCAACTTTAAGCTTATCAGACACTCTTATACCGATAATAACTAATGTTCCTTGTGTTTCTATAGAACAGACAAGACATATCACAAAGAGTGAACACAGACATATCAAACTCCTGAGTGCAACCATGTCATCTTTTTCTTTTTAATCTGTATGGTGTTATTTCTTGC